CAGAAGTTTTTTCAATTATTTTTCTTTTTAAAAACATCCAATTTCTAGAAAGAGGGTGAGAGGGTATTCACTTTGAATTTTGAGGCAGTGAAGCCATCTTGTGGTTGATGTTGGTATTGCCAAGGCTTTGAGGAAGTCACTTCCATTAGGAAAAATTAGGTCTTTAATCACAGTTTCACATTCAAAAAGGCTTACCCAACCTGTCAGTTCTAGAACTTGGATGGAAAAATTAAACACAGAACTGAAAGCCTTTCCTGTTAGGGCTTCACAGTAATGCATAAGGTCCTCACAAAGCTGGACTGGTAAAGTATTTTTACACTAACCTATATTGTATAATTAACTTCTACACCTTGGTTCAGAGGCTAAAGCTATGAAAATTACAACAGCAAAATATTAAATTTTAAGAAGAATATGAAAAATATTAAACAGTTTTATAGGAAGTATAGTTTTATTTCTTTTTTGTCATGACGTTTTTCCATGATTTTTAGCTTACAAGCCACCACGTTCCAGGACCTTGTACCATTTGAGAAATGCAAAGCCTGACCTGAAAAACTCAGAAAATAACTTGCAAAATATGGCTTCCCCACTATACATCCTTCCACTCTCACAATCTTTACGGCCTAAAAATCAAACACGAACTGCCTATGGGAAAATCTAGCTTAGGCTTCGAAGCCTGGAGAAAACTGTCCTCTTCCCACTTGCAACACTTTTTAATTTGTCTGAAACCTTTGCATCAAGGTTATGGGAAACCTTGTGGAGAAAATACAGGAACTGCAAAATAATGTTAAGAAGAGAATGGGAGGAAAGAGAAAAGAACCTAAGCAAAACTATACTAATTAATAATAAAGTTACTTGTACTTTTTGACATTCTACTTTCTCCCAAATTAATCAGTGATAATAGCAATTATTAAAACTTCAGTTTCAAACTCCAGATGACAATGCCCTTCTGAAGTCCCCAGATTTGTCTAAGAACAAAAGAGATGTAAATTCAGTGTGTACAGGATTAACTGTCTTCTCCTAAATACAAACCCACAATCTTTCTTACCTGATCACAGATCTAACAGCTCTCCATTCTTCCTTTCCACTTTCAAATTCCCAAATGTTGAAAATGGTCTAAGTCTTATTAATTATAATAATAACAATATATACCATGTGAGCATTTACTTTTGGCCTCTCAGGGGGGAAGTCTGAAGACTCCTCTCTACACTCCTTTACTCTACCTCCAAAGAGGACTATGCTCTGTCTTGGGGAATCTCCAGTATATTGTATTGAGCCTCAAGCCTGGCGAATGAGTTTCCAAGGGGGTTAGAAGACACATGGCTGAGGCCCTTTCAAAGGGACCACACAAGACGAATGGAGGCAGCTCCTAAGAAGACAGCCTCTTCGCCCCTCTTGCTTCTTAAGTATTTGCTTCTTAAATATTGGGGCAAATCCTCTTCAATACTCACATTTTCCTTTGGCTTTCTCTCTCTTAGGAATGGTAATATCACAGGCAGGCTTGGAACTTAGTAGAAATAGTCACAGCAGGGCTTTCGGCCTGCTTCGATTCGTTCACACTCAGACCAGCTTTGCTCAAGTAATAAGAGTTCTGCATTAGGGTTGGAGGCCAAAACCCAGTCAATAATGAAGTATCCATTTACCTTACTTCATTCACTGAATTTCCTTGAGATCTCTCAGTAACAGATACTCAAATGAGGTAATAAGGATTCATGCATTCTTAGATCTCCAGGACAAAAATACCATCCTATATTGCTCATAATCTTCAATACTTGCCATATGCATTGCACTACGTTTAGTATCTTCATGTACATTATTTCATTTAATTCTTCAATGTCATAAGGGAGATAGTATTTGAATAATAAGGAAATTAAAATCTAGCAAGATTACTTTCCAGAAATCACAAAACTAATAAGCAGTATAATGAGGATTTAAATGCAGCCCAATGACTCTAAAATCTGTACCTTTCCAGTATGTTACCAGTCCCTATCATTTTATGCTCCTCTCCACACCCTATCTGAAACATATCACAACCACGCCTCTGCTTCCTGAGACAGCTAGTCTATCTCATATTTTAAGTTTTCTGTCTATATTAGTTTTTGGAAAGTTAGTTTCCAGTATGTTCTATTTGGAAGATCGCTAGGTAACCCAGCTCTTTCTTTCATTCATTCATTCTTTTTTAGTATAAAAAGAAAACTAGAAAATAATATCATTTTATACCAAAGTCTCATATGTTCAAGGAATAGGCAAATTACTTATTCAAATACTCTGCTTACTAAATGTTGCCCTATGTCTTATGCACGGATTAAAACAAAATTTATTTTAAATTTTTCATTTAAAATTTATTTTAAACAAGAACAATAACATATATAATTTAGTGACTGGAGCCATGTCTTTATAATGATTCAGTTACCATTAATATGGTCAAGTGCTGGTTAAGAAAGGATTCCAATAAAGGCACAATAAAGCTTTTACTGCATTAGTCTTTCTTTACAAAGAAGCACAAGTGATTAAAAAAAACAGGGAAAAAGTACAAGTCAGTCAATTAATATCAAAAATATATTCCTTAAACATTTCCTGTGGCCTAAAAATAGTTATATTTTTATATAATGTATGGAGTTCTAACCAAAGGCAAATAAAATCAGCAATTCCTTTGGGTGAGCTTCTAAAATTTCTATTAAAATTATTTGTCAAAGCATCTTCACTAATACCACCAAGAGAATTACATTTGGTGTTAGAAGTATGTAATGAAAGGAAAAATATAATCAAAGAGGAAGAGCAGACATGGGGTATCCAACTGAATTTCTGTTTCATGTGAAAAGGGCTTACTTTATTTATAAAGTCACATTAGCATTAAGAATATTTTAAAGGATAAAATTTGGCACAGAAAATTCTAGATTCAAAGATTTTAAGTTTTTTTTATTGTTGTTAGCTACATTCAAAGGAAATCCTAAAGAATCCAGTGCACAAAACTTTTTGAAGCAAAAATGGCTCTGAGAAGGTGGAGGGAGCAGAGAAAGTCTCATCAGCACCATCCCCATGAGCTTACAGCAGAGGTGGGTTCTCAGAATCCCTAAGGAGCAGAGAAAAGTCTCATCAGCACCATCCCCATGAGCTTACAGCAGAGGTGGGTTCTCAGAATCCCTAAGGACACAGAGAGAGAAAATAGAAAACCAATAATACAGAAAGCTTTGAAATTTTCTTAAATAAACTAGTATAACGATGCGTAGTTATTGCTTTGATGCTAGTTTCTTTTCCTGTAAAGAATTTTTGCACTCATCAGACCTGTCCAAGATTGCTGCTTAATCTGGGGTTCTGTACCCAGGCAGTCTTCTAAGTATGCTTTCCAGACCAGCAGAATCAACATCCCATGGAAACTTGTTCAAAATACAAATTCTTGGGCTCTACCCTAGTTCAATGGAATCAGAAACGTGAGGTCAGGGGGCAGTGGTTGGCAATCTGTGTTTTAGCCAGGCATCAGGGTGATTCTGGTGCACACTAAAGTCTGACAACTACTACCACAACCAAAAAAGCAATGTAAAGAAATTGGAGAGGACTCGGAGAAGAACAATGAAGATGAACAAAAAGCTTGAGACTGAGAATAAACAAAGGAACAAAGATAGATGGCTTTAGCAAAAAGAAACATGTGGCAGTGATATATACAAGTCTTCAAGTATGTGAAGAATTATTCATAAAGGAAGGTAACCAGATGTTCTCCATTTCCCTTGAGGGAAGATAAAGAAGACATTATGAACTTTAAGTTGCTGCACAAGAAATTTAGGTTAAAATATAATTAAAGTTTGCTGACACAGAGAGTTGTTAAACATGAAAATGAATTGCTGAGGAGTTTATAGAACCCTCTTCTCTAAGTATGTGTCTCAAAAACTAGAGTAGATTAGAAACGCTCTCTTGTGGTTCCTTCCAGCTAAATGATTACCATCTATTGCATAAATGGACTAATATTTACAAAATGTAAAAAATATGTTGCTACATTATAGACCTTTCAAAATTATCTAACATTTAAAATATCTGAGATGCAATAACTATTTTAAATATCCGAATGTTAAAATGATATGATTTATTCAGATGCAAAACATACACATTGAAAGTATTTATTGAAATTACAGATAATGTTTCTTTTTTTTCAGCTGGGAAAGAGTCCCCCTGAGCTAACATCTGTTGCCAATCTTCCTCTTTTTTTTTTTCCCCTCCCCAAAGCCTCAGCACACAGCTGTACATTCTAGTTATAGATCCTTCTAGTTCTTCTATGTGAGCTGCTGCCACAGCATGGCTACTGACAGACAAGTGATGTGGTTCTGTGACCAAGAACCAAACCCGGGCCACTGAAGCGGAGAACTTGAATCACTAGGCCATCAGGGCTGGCTCAATAATGATGTTTCTTAATAGTTCAAAAAGTGACCAATAGCACATATGAAATTCTTGGCTAACACAATATAATGTATTTTCAAATAAAAAGAAGAAATTGAATATAAATGAATAAAAAATAAAAGACTGACTAGTTGGTATCAAAAAATCATATCCTTGTATTTTAATCACTGAAAAAATCTGTAACATGAATATATATATGTAATGCAAAATGATAGCAATTAGCAGATCCATGGCTTTGCCAAATTGTTCCTAATATTCTCTCACAATCTTATGTATTAAGTTCATTAAATAAACATGGTAACAGATAACTAAAATAAAAAGGTCCTTGCCCTGAGCTCTGATAATATCTGGTAAGTTTCACATACAAGTGTGCCATAGTTATAATTCCTGAAACAAAAGTTTAAATGTTGAAAAGTCACCAGAAGTTTAAAAGTTTAAGTCTTAATAATTTTCCATGTGTATAGGAAGTCACTATAATGACAACTCTGTGACTGTTCACCTCCAAAATATTTTGTAGTCGCAGTCTTTATTGACAAAAAATAATTCCAATAATTTAGTAGATGTTCATATTTATTGAAGTTAGCATAATTTAGGAAGTTAACATTTTTCTTTACCTTTTCTACCTTTCCACCATTGATGTCACTGGGGAGGAATTTCTTGCCAATTGTTCTCAAGTCTGTCTAAAATAAAAATATTATTATTAAAATATAATTATAGATAAAAGGAAATCTAAATCAAATCTCATTCACAAACAAAAGGTGAAACTACTTAAGGTTTGTGGAACAAAGTTTAAATAAATGTCTTTTAACTGATTATGAGATCTATACATATAATCTATCTTTTCAAATGACACAGTCCCACACATATATGTTGTTTAAAGTGTGCCAGTAAGTTGAACAGTAATAAATAAGGCCTTAATTCTGATAATTGATTTAGGTAAACTTAACTTAGGTAACCTTTTAACTTAATAAGTCTTCTCTATTAAAATACAAAATTTGATTTTATGTAAACTACAGTCTTACTAAAAAATTAATGCCACAATCTAAAACCAAATGACTACTTCTCAATGCATAAACAGAGTATATTTTTGATAACTGAATCCTGAAAAACCTTGATATGCAGAGACATGAAAACACATTACTCTATAGTCTGTGATATCCATAACATACAAAAGCTACACAACATAACAAGTAACCCAGGGAACAATACCACTGCAACAGCAAGAAGTTACAGTAAGACTTTACTATAGTAAAAATTTATTTCATTTGCTTAAATAAATTACAGAAATCGAAGCTGGTGAACAAATGACTGACTATATAAAAATGCAGAAGTACACAGTATTGAGCAAACCAAAGGAAAACATAACGACTAATATAAACAAAGTCACAGCATTTCTGACATAAAAACAAAACTTCGACTAGACAGTCTACATAAAAAGTAGAACTTTTAAAGATTTCTTTTAAGGAATGGTAGAAATTTGTTCAGAGGAAAACTATCAATACTCATGAAAAGGGCCTAATTATTTAAGCTAAGAAATTATCTTGATGATTGTGAGAGTGAGGTTAGATTAATAACTAAATTTAAATTGTTTTGTTATTCTCTAAAATACATTAAACAATAGCTCTTCATTGCCTTAAGAGCAAACTAAAGGAAAATAGAGTACATTTAATCACATAAATGTTGAGAGAAATTTATGCTAGACTTAAGGAGAAAACACTAGATGATCAAAATTACTGTAATATGAGATGAATACATATAGAGAAGTAGGATAGTCTTCCTTGAACACCTACAATAATAGAATATCCTCTTATTTGAAATATTCGTATGTGGTCAGCTTAAGAAACAAGTATGTAAGTTATACAACCCCCACAGATCCTCTCCAGTCTTTCACTACCATGATTCATAACTTATGTCTCAATGTAATGAAAGGATCACTCCTAAACTAAAACTCACCAAATGGAACTGCCAGGCAAACTAAGCCCCAAATCCAAACACCTGTGTAACAATGCTTTAGGTTTATTCTTTTTGCAGCCTCCATCCAATAACAGAGTGAAAGAATTATAAACCATACCTCATGTTGTATGTCTTTTCACTTTGAAAATACTGAGTGACGTATAGGAAAAAAATACTCTCTTATGCCAGCTTTCTCTCTATTAGGATTGGTTCGAAGATTAAATGTTAATATACATGAAGCACTTAGCACAATGACTTGCAAAGAGTAAGCATTTAATGAATGTTAGCTATCATGTTTATTTTAGTGAATATAAAACATGTACATTTTGTTATCATCTGAACATGTATAATCATTAAGTCAATAATACAACCAACAGTTCATAAAAACACAGGCATTATTGTGAAGTCACTCAAAGGGTGAAATATTTAAATATGTATGAAAACAGAATATATACAAATTTTATGATACATCATGGTCCTTCATTTCTGGTTTTTATAAATAATTATGAAATTTAACTCAAACTAAAATGAGGCATCAGTATAAAGTAGAAATGAGCACTAGACTAAAATCCTAAACTTTGATTCACTGCAAACTGTAATTAACTAATATGACCTTGGACACTGTCACAAATTCTCTAAATCCAGTTAATTTATTCCTCTAAAAAATGGAAAGAATAGTACCAACTCTATCTCACAAAGTTGTTGTCAGACTAAAATGAGAAAATATATTCAAAGTTTACATAACTTTTAAAGTGCTGTACACACATACAAGGAATGTTATTTCATTGTCCTTTTAGCAAGATGAAAATGACCTACCAAATCTTTAAACATTCCAAATTCAAAGTCAATTTATAAGTATTGAAAAGGCAATTTTATGAATCAGACACCATTATATCAGAATCACTAGGACAACTGGGTCCAAAAATACATTTTTTTTTTGTATAAACAAACTTAAAAACAAAAAATTATGCAGGAGAAATATTTAGCCTATAAATACACATGCACATGTGCGCACACACACACAAGATTCCTATTTATTCATAAGTTCAACAGAATATCTATTTGGAAAATCATTTTATATTATACAGAATCTTAAAAGAAACTAAAAAATAATCTGTTTTTAAATTTTTACTGATACAGAGTATTCAGTAATTTAAGGCTAGTCTATCAGTTAATTTTTTTCTGAATAATTCAAGTATTTGAACCCAAAACTACATGCTGGATTTCAATGTCATTGCTTAATACTCTTACTCCCCAGTCTACAGAGTAAAAAATTAAGAACACTCCTTTTCAATATAAAAATCTGCACAGAAAAGAGTTACATAGCAGCTCTGAGGCTGCTACCTTTAGAAAAGTCTGCTTTTACAAGGTTGGCCCTAGGCTGGCATCAGGGAACTTTGCACTTGAACCATTTCCTAACTGAAAACGTGGTTCACTACCTAGACTACTTGCATAAACAACGTGATTTACGGTGAACTGCTTTTTTTGGGAACAGTCTAGAATTTTATTTCATGTTAGGCAGAGAGCACCTTCATGAGCAGTCTAATAAAAGCTTTGGGTGCTAGTCTCTAACGGATTTCTCTGGGCAGAAACACTATATATCTATTACTGCACTGTTCACTGCTTGATAAAGGAACAAGCTCGGTGTGTCCCCCACGGGAGGAAGAAAGAGAATGTAAGAAAGCTTGTGCATGGATTATACTCCCAATATGTAATAAGCAATAGACAATAACAATCAGTAATACAAGTTTTTCTCAACTAGTGATTGATATCCCACAATCATTCAAAAGTTGAAAAAAATTTCAACAGAAATACTATAAATGCTTGATTTTATTTAAAGGTGATAAACTTGAAAAGTAAATTATTTGTCTGATGTAGACTTCACTCAGGATAAAAGTTTTTTTTTCTCTTATTATGTGGCATGATAGCTTCGACTGGAGTATTCAACTCTATATTTCAAGGAAAATTATAAAGATAAGTTAATTCATTAAGATAACTTATCATGTAACTCTTATGTGTATAAGACAAACACTTCACCTTGATTTATTTTAAAGTTTCACACCCAATTACAGATCATTCATTGCTATTTATCTAAGTATATAAATAAGAAAAATAAAGAAGAGCAGAAGCTTGTTACAAAATCTCTTTCCTATCATCTTCAGGATTTTTTCTTTTTATAAACAAAGAAACAAAGTAAGAGTTCTTTACAACATTTTTTGAAAGTAGAATTCACTAATTTGGGTGCAAGTCAAAGAAAGTTAAAATGTGTACAGAATATTTCCATTTGTAGTTGGAGATATTATGCATAATTTCTAACTAATGCTACTTCAAAAATTTTATAGTCTTTTATTTATTAAAAACCTAAATACTTAAGCTCAGAAACAAAAATTCTTGCTTGTCTTATTGAATAAAATTCAAAGAAGCTGAAAAAAGTGACAGATTACAAAACATAAATTTTATCTTTAAGTTTAAACCCAAGTTTAATTATATAAATATAAATTTAAGTGATATGAAAAGAAAAAGTTATACACAGTTATATATTTATTTATATTTTAAATGTTCTTTTCAGTTGCCCCCATTTCTGCTTTATGTTATACCTATTTTGTAGTGATATGATGAGTCTGTCAGACAGTAATTCTCTTATGAATTTCATTAATTATGTATCATAATATATAAATTTGATTGTTAACAGATTGTTATTGTAAAGGCAACCTGAAAAAAACTCCCACTGGGGCAACTGCAAGATTGAAAAAAGAATATTTGTTACTTCATCTATTTCAAACAATTTTTATAACTTTTCAAAAAAATCCAAAAGTCAATCCCAATTATGGAAAAGATATAGCTATACAGATGGATGGAGGGAAAGAAATATACACCAAAACATTGACAGTAATTATAAGTAGCTTTAATTTTCTTATTTTACTTTTCTGTGTTTTCTGAAGTATTCTACAATATATATTACTTTTATCAACAGGAAAAGTTATTTTGAAATAATAAATACAACTGTCAAAAAGCTATAACGTAGCTAGAGTTTCTACGTTAATTAAATGGCAATTTGTTTTAATGAATAGGATCGGTTTTTACTGCTATTATACAGCTACTATAAATGTTATGAGATTCTGTAACTGATCACTGGGTGAAACAAAAGGAGTTTTAATTGCATTTTTTCCTTTTTCATTGGATTCTATATAACAGATGTTAAAAGAAACATATATTTCTAATAATTGGCTGATATGAGTAATAATTGGCTGATATGAGATTATCAAATTCAACAAACATTACTGCAACTTTAAATGAACAATAAAATTGAAAGATGTTCTCCATATTACTTATCATCAAATCCAGTTCATTTTATGAGCTGTTTTTAATGAATATAGCTTCCAGATTAAAATGTTTATAAATTAATAAACAAAACCTACATTGAGAGCAATCAGGATGATGTCATTTATATTGACTTTGTCAGGAGAACTTGTGCAAGCTTCAATGCCTTCATCTGACAGATACCTGTTAAAATAAAATAAATGGCTTAATATTTTCTAAAATTAAATAACCAAAATTATTTTCTTAAGTCAACATGCAATTTTGTTCTCTACTATAAAATGCTTCTACCATAAACACTAAGAGAAAGAATCCTGGATACTCCCTGTTTACATACTATCTCTGATAGAACAGAATGGACAATGCATATTTTTCCTCTTTTGTACCCTTAAAGGGATATTGCATTAATAAAAATCTTCATATGGTTTCTGAGAAAAGCTATTTAAACATCAATATACTTCTTAAGGAATGTATGAGCTACTTTACTATTATATAAATATAATATCTGACTTAAATATTTGGTAATACAGTAAGTTGTTGGAGATTGAGATGTGCCATAAAAATAGAACTAAAAACAATACAGTTTTAAACTTAGTCCAACAAAAATTTCATCTGTGCTTCTTCCTCACATTACCTTCTCAAGTCGCCTTTCTTTAAAATAATGTTCCAAAGAATCCTTCAATAAATGCTATTGACTCCAAGTGGCACAAAGATAGGCAACTTTTTACCTTCTATCTTTTACTTTTCCTGTTTCTTTTCAGTTTTTTTACTCATTGTCTTATTGACCTTTGTTCTTTTATCCAGTCAAAACCAACTATTCACCTGTCGCAGACAATAATTAATTCAAGAGTAAAAAGATTATTAAATCCAAGGAGGAGAAAAATCATCTCTACCCATTCATCCATACCCAACATGGCCATTTTGAAATTCTTTGATAAATTCTACAATTTGGGTATCATCCCTCAAAAAGTCTACCTGTAAAAATGCCCATTAACATCTGACATTGTTACCGGTATCGACACATTTAACCACAGGGCTGGTGCTAGCTTTGCCACTGCAGGCATTCTCCCACTAAAAAGATACAGGAGTACTAGCCTGACAGAGCTAACTGAAGCTCATTCCTGATAGACAGTAATTCCACCATCAACCCCCAACATCAGATAGAATTAATTCTAAGACATTTGTCAATATAAACTCTACCTGGACACAGCAACCAAAGAGGATGTGCCTTTAAGAAATATGGAATGAATGATTTCTCAAAGGTAAAAGAGCAAGTGAAAAGAAATGTAAATTGTAGAGTGCAAAAGAAAATAGGTGATTAAAGTTGATAAGCCTATGAACAAGGTCAAGGAGATAAAAGTCAGGAAAGCAGACACACACACACATACATAAATCAAAGCAAGAATGTGTTAACAAAATTAGATATTATTAAAAGTTTAAGACCATGGTAGTGCTAAACTACAATCATGAATGAAGGCAAGTAATTTAGTGGGTTACAGACAAAAAACAGAAGTGTTAAATATGTAGATGAGTCAGTAAGAACAAACGGATGAGAAGCAGGAATAATAGTACAGAAGTAACTATGGAATACAAATGCTTGCAGTCAGCATAGATGGTTAAAACACTGCTTTAATTCAAAATGGCTAAGTTGATTTCCTTACTATCCTGTTAATTTTTCACTGTTCATAGCAATTGACTGTATCTATCATTAATCATCTTACAAATTCAGGTCTACAAATATTGATTAATCCCCTATTTATGTGAAAAGTATTATGTGAATTAGTAATAAGATTAGTAGAATGATGAAAATTAAACACCTGCCTTCAAGGAGTTTACAATCTCATACAGCATAACACAATACATAAACAGCTACCATACAAGGCCAAAATAATTACAAAGGAAATGTTATAGGGGCTCAAAGTGGCTAGGGGACAGAAAGAGTGCATAGAAAGGGGTAGTATGAGCAAAAACATAGAAGTAAAAAAGTGTGAAGCACATTCTAGAGGTAATAACCTGGCACATTCTGGCTAGAAAATGGGGAAGAAATGAGAGATAAGTAAAGGTTGAAACCAATTTTAGAAAATAACAGTGCTTGAAGGGATATGGGTGACATATTAAATGCTGATTGAGTAATTACAAAAACACAACTTTCAAAATTCCTATACAGTGGGGAAATAGTATGCAATGACTAATAAAACACTTCGTTTTCTAGAACGGCAACTCTTTAGAATTAAAAGATTATAGGATGTCAGATGAACTGGAATAGTTCCAGTTAAAAATAAAGTTCACGTCTTCAATTTTACAGATGAAGAAAAGAGGGCCCAAAGATGTTAACTAAACTTGCCCTAAAATACAAATGCAATGCAAAGTTAAAACAAGACTACCTCCTAACTCCCAGGTCAGCAGTCTTTTCATCACAACACACCATTTTTATTTATCAACAACTAATGCTAATATTAGGAATATGATCATCTTTTCACAAACAAAAGCTAACAGCTATACAAATCAGTTTCCTACTCAAGTAGACACACTTCATCAACACACACAAAAAAAGCACAAGTAGGCAAATTTAATCACTGAGCTCTAAAATATATCAAAAAAGAACAGGTCTAGTTTCAACTAATACTAATAATCAGAGATTCAAAAATTGTTATAATAATAAAAAACACCTCTCCCTACAAAATATAAAGAGGGAAAGTCTACCTAACAAAAATTCTAAAGACAGAAACCACAAGGGAGTGGAAATTTGACTTTATCCATGTATAAGTCAAATATCATGTGATTTCTTTTAAATAATGCCTGTAGAAGGGCTCTTGAATATGACAAATTCGAAAATGTGGCTCCGTCTCGATTTCCAAGTTTTACAAGTCTCCCTTACTTACCCTTCATATTTGGAAAAATCAAAGGACTTGATCCTCACAGCTTTACTCTAATTATCAAGGAACAGGAGACCCCTTCACAGCTCTCCTCAGTAACATCTTGGTGATCCTTTTGTAAATACTGGACTGTTTTCACAGAAGAACTGAATCTAAATTAACCATAACATGGGATTTACAAATTAATCTTTTTCTTTTAAAATTCCAATATTTCATTAAAACTCCAATATTATCAATGAATAAAACAAGTGATAAAAGTAAGTCAAATGCCCAAATTGGCTTCAAGGTGCATCACAGTAACACAGTAACTGAAAAAACAATACAACGTAAAATTCACCAGCCTTAATGTGGTCATTGGGAAAGAAAGGAACTGAAATTTGGAGCATGCGTCCCAGATCTGATCCCTGTGCACATCTACACGACGGACTTCCAAGGAAGAGAATTATAATCAGTTCCCATGTGCCATCTTTGAGCACGTAAAACCCAAGGGCATGAACCCTAAAGAAGAAACGAACCTCAGAGAGCTCTTGTTTACTAAAACAGCCTGTGAAAGCATACATTTTTTTTTTTTCTCTCCAGTGGAGATTTGGGAACAGTAACATTATAAAAACACTCATTACTATTCTAAACTAAAAATACATCTGAATACATTTTATTGACAAGCAGGGCACTAAAAGGCTAAACTTCTGCATGATACTCACAGAATAGACTAACATTTCCTACTAATTTTACCTTCAAATAATGCCATTTTAAATCATAGTGTAATAAGTGCTCAAATTTTTTAAAAAAGATTTTAGCAAGTGCTTCCTTTTTCATAAATAGAAGACGTTAAAATACAGTCTTAGTCATTTAATGTGTCATCCTGAGCAATTCTTTTTACTTCAGAAGTAAAAGCTTTCAAGTTAATTTTTATCCACCAATTTGGGGGAAAGGGGATTTCCTATTGCAACTAATGAATACATATTCAATAAGAAGGGTCACACAGCCTAAGCGCCACTACCAGAACCATCTTCATCCCATGTTCAGATGACACTTGGGCATATAAAACAGACATGCCCAAACTACAGTTCAAGAATCTCTATTGACAGCAAACTGAGATAAAACAAATACTATCATTTTAATCTCATTTATTCGATCCAGATAGTGGTTCATCATTACCATCTCTCACTATCAGTAAGGGAAAAGAGAGCCAATTTTCCTTCACTTTATTCCTCAGAAAGCAGGTAAAATCCTTGAGTCTAACTTAATCACTGGCTATGATGAATGGATAATGAGGAGAAACGAGACAAACTGAAGAGTACATGCCCCATCTAAAGGGGGCGGCCATAACTCAGCTCCGGTTGACTGTCTGTCTGTCTGAGGATAGGTAAAACAGTCATTGTCAGATCTTCTCATTTTTAGCTTTTAGTTTTTTTGTAAAGCAATGTGCAAGTCAAAGAAAACATGTTTCAGCTTGCACATGGCACACACAATTTGTACTTACTAATCATATTAGTTTATTTATCTGCTTGTTTGCTCCTATACGCTTCCAAGTTGTCTTTGACGTGCAAGGTTGTACCATGTGTCTATCAAATAACATAATATTCATGGCTGACATCCTTTTCAGGCAAAAGAGAAAAAGAATTTTGTCTTTTAGGCCACTTTGTATGATTCTTGGAGAGCAATGAACATAATTATGCACTGTAATAAATGTTCTTACCAGAGTTGTCTACATCAGACTGAAAAGTGTCAAATCACGTAGTTTGGCCTAAATATTTTACAAACTAGACATATACAGAACTCACCTTTACCTCCGATTTCCAGACTACATATACTTTTTAGGGAGGAGGAATGTTCTAACTGGCCAGAAACACTAAAAAGCAAACATCAAGTTTTCTTCCCCTCTACCCACTTCCACCCATCCAAGCAAAGAATGTCCATTCAAGTCTGAACTGAGACCTGAATTCCCAAAATAATCAAAGACAGAATCTATTATTACACATATATATTAGGCTGATGACACATGGAAATTCTTTAAAATGCCACTGAGAAAACCAAGAATGAAAAGATTCTTCCCAAATGGGTAGGGACTCAATCAAACAATAAAGGAGAAATCTGGATGATGACTCACATGGTAATCTTAATTGTCTCTGAATAAAACCCAAATCAAATGTCCTTATGTGGTTTTGGGGTCTATGATCTATATGTGACTGTTTACTACCACATGGAGATTACTGGCCCACATGTGTTATCCAGATACCAAAATGGGAATTTAATAAATGAATTTCTGCTTAGCCACAAAGAAGATAAAGATAACTGTCAATTA